CGAGGGGAAGTGCCCGGCCGGCAGCTGGGGTCCGGAGGCAAGGGGGCTGCCTGAAGCCCATAGCGCTTGGGCAGCTCAGCTCTTAAACAGAGCCGAAGAGTCAGGGGAGGAGCAGAGCCGCCATTTTCCCGGACATGTTCGGCTTTTTGGCAATTCCCCCCGGACGGGGGTTTGAGTGCCGAAAAGCTGGACATGTCCGGGAAAAAGAGGACGTATAGTAACCCTACGTAACCTGTTAGATCAATGAAGGTTCAGTGCGGGAAAGTCCCACTATAGTGTGTCCTCCAGAACTTTGTTCTGTTTGTTTTTAAATGTCACAAGCAATGTGGCTTTCACCATGTCCCTTGAGAAAATTATTCCACAGCCTGATCCATCCGTCTGGCTGCATATCTCAGAGAACTGCAGGTATACTTCTTCTACTAGTTTGTTGGGGCCAATTTCTGCTCTCTCTCCAGTGCATGTCAGTGATTCTAGTGACTTTAATGGGAAGACGTGCATGCCCTAGTGCAGAACTTGAAGTCCATATCTGTTCCTAGTGAAGTCAGTGCCAAAACTTCATTGCTTCTTGAAGTGTGGTTCAATTCTGAAAAGTGACCAAGTAAAAATAGCACATTCTTACTTAGCACATCTGCTCTTCTGGTAACCTCAGTGACCCACAGAATCAAGGCAGATGAGAGAGTGAGCTGTATTCTATTTCTTCTTGTGTATCATCAGCTAGGTTATTTAAGTTTCACTTATAAGGCCAATCAGTTACACCTATGCAAACCTATTGAAGGAAGTTAGATTGCAGAGTGAGGTAATATCTTTTATTGGACCAACATCTGTTGGTGAGAGAGACAAGCTTTTGAGCTACACAGAGCTGCTCTTCTGGTCTGGGAAAGGTGCTCAGAGTGTCACAGATAAATACAAGATCGAATAGATAATTCAGCATAAGTAGTTAGCACATATACTAAGGGACCATTCAAGGTGAAGTGGCCTGTTAACAACACTGTAAATCATAGGACAGAAAAGGTGGGCTAGTGGGTTACAGATATAATAAGCCATAAATCCAGTGTCTTTATTAAAACCACATATTTTAGTGTCTAGCAAAATTATGAATTTGCGCTCCTAGGCTTGTCTTTTAAAAGCATTGTGCAGGTTTTCAATGGGGATTGATAGGTCAGATACAGAGTGATCGCTTTGTGAAAAGTCTTCACCCACAGGAGATGTGGTGGTTTTGTCTTTTATCATTTTCCTTTGTGAGTTCAGTCGAGAGCATAGTGATTGTCTGATTTCAACCACTTAGTTGCTATTGGGGCATTCAGTGCACTGGGTGAGGCACACCACATGTTGTGATAGGCGGGTGTAGGAACCATGGATTTTGAAAGGTGTGTTGTGGAGGGTGTTGATCATTGCAGCAGTGGAAATATGTCTACAGATGTTTGCATCGGTTGTTTTGGCAGGGTCTGGTGCCGCTTTGAGTTGGTGTGGCGCTTGCTTCTGATGATGAGCTTGGAGAAGTTGGGGGGTTGTTTGAAGGCCAGAAGAGGGGGTTCAGAAAAGATTTCTTTTAGGTGGGGCCCCCATCAAGTATTGGGTTGTAGTTGTTTGATACCCAAGAAGGAAATAACCCATTTTGACTTACAGACCTCCTGGTCGAGTTTGCAAAGGTAGCACAAAATAAACTTGTAAACTGAGAACATTTGATCTGGAAGCCACTGAGAGAAAATAAACATGGCACCTCACAGTGGTGAACACAGAGTTGCCTTTCAGAGTAGCACTGCATGGTGAGGTTTGTATGGTGCTTTGAAGACACAAAGAGCTATAGAAGTTGATTATTACTATTACTGGCATTTGCTGAATAAATTCTTACTGTGAGATGATAATATGCTGGGATTCAGGAGTTGTTTATTTATTTATTTATTTTAAAACTTGACTGTCCACCCTTCTTCCCTTCCCCCTACCCCTCTCAGTTTCTTAGCTCTTTTATTTCTGTGTGTGTTTTTTCCTCTTCCAGATCTGATTTGTTAATAAACTCATTCGCGATAACATTGTCTTTGCAATTTGCTTTATTTCCTTATTCTGCTGTTTGAAAATGCTGATGTATGAAAACGTTAGTGCTCTGCACCAGTTTTGTTTCACATAACCATACAAAGGTTCCTGCCGTCTCTTTGTTTTTCGTTTCAGATCCTTGCGTATGTTTTAAGTTGTATCCTTTTGCCCACGTTAGCTAGGATTTGTTGGTTTATTTTGTCTTTCTTTTCTGAACTCATTTTTCTTTTCCCATTTTTGTTTCCTCCCATCCAGTATCTCCAGATGAAATGGCCACTGCTTGATGTTCAGGCAGGGAGCCTTCAGAGTAGACAAGCCCTCAAGGATGCTAGGTCTCCATCTCCAGCACACATCGTTGTAAGTAAACTCAGAAGACATTCTTCCTTTGTTGCGGGGAAAAAAAAAAGACATTTGACATTAACAGCATTTGCTTGTCATCCTTTTTCTTTTACTCGACACACAAAAAAGAGCAAGCCAAACCCAGGTTGAAGGGTGGGGAATGAGTTTTTTGTTGCTGGGCAGCGCTTCAAAATATTATCCATGGCGTAGAAGTTCTTGCTTTTTGGAAAAGTGAAGAAGCTAAGTGCCCCTGAAATTTACACTCACCAAAACTATTTTGATTTTATATAAGTCCAATCCAGTTGATTTACAATTCTGACTTTCCAGCTGTTGAAATGAACACAGGGTTTGGGAGAATATTAAAAAATAAACCACCTCCGAGAAGCATTGTGAATTCTGGGTCTGATCTGTAATCCTCACTCAGACAAATCTTGTGTGGGAGTTAGTCAGGCAGAACCTTACCCGAATAATGACTTGTTAGGATCAAGCTTTTAAAACAAACAACAACAAAAATCTTTTGGTTTCTGGTGCCTCTTCCCTTAGTATAAACACTGAACGTCAGCAAATAGTATGTTTACAATTCATCTCAAGAAAAATCCAGTTCCATTATTGAATTCTGCTATTGGAGTCAAATTGCTTCCCATATAGTAAAAGTGATGGTAAAGTTACAGTGTTAAAGCCACATGTGAGTATGTGTTTAAACAATGTCCAAAAAGTTTTAAAAAGAAACGACTTGTTATTTGTATACTGTACCATGCATCTACGACTGCCCAAACTCATTCACATTCACCTATAGCTGCTTTTTATGCAATTTTTAGCTAATGAGCCCATCGGTTCTGAATGTTGAGCTGATAAATTAACCTCTTGAGAAGATGGCTCACGGCTTGTTAGAATATTTCTTTCAATATATTTTATCATCAGATCTCATGTTTTTGACTTTATTTTTTTATAATTAATGGATACGAAGGTGAAATTATGCAAAAAAGAAACTGCTCATGTATTTTTGATATAGGATCTAAAGCTGATATAGTTGAGAGATTACATCAGACACTTGAAAGATATTAATTTACTTTAAAAAAAAATGAAAATAACTTAGGAATTTCTGTTTTTAAAAATATTTGTGTCTCCTCAACCTGAAAAGTCCCAGACCTTTTGTCTTAAATAGTTTTGATAAAATGTTTTAGTAGCTCTTTGAATTAATAGTTTTAAAATCCGACCTGAATAAGGCAAAGCGAAATGTAGACGGTTTTGATATTTAAATGGTCAATGCCAAATGTTGGTGGTTCACTTTTTAAAAGATTTTATTTTTCCTTCCTGTTGTTTGTGTTATTGCTATATTACGAGCTCAAAGAAAGACGTTTACTTTGCTAGCTCTTTTATCTGGTCTACAAACAAAATTCCTAGCCTTCTTCCCGCCTCCCTCCCGCCAGCCTATCACCTATTTTCTAATGGTGAATAAGCCAACAAGAATCTGTCTTTTACTTCCTTGTTTGTCAATCTCATCACCAATGGGATCATCAGAGATGAAAACATTCCTCTGGGAACTGGGCTTGATAACTCATGTGCCCTCTGCTGGCTGGCTGGTTGTCATCCTCTGCCACAGCAAAGCAAACTACAGGGCAACATGCACATCGCTAGTCTTTCATTTTAAATTTTGCTGTGACAGACTTGTTTATCAGAGGAGGAAAGAAAGATTTTAATAGATTCTGGTGGATGATTTTTGCTATTGGATTATAAGCGTTTTGAAGGTAGGTCAAGTATTGCTTGTAAATAAGTTGTCACCTATTTTTATATATGATTGCAATTTAAATGCTGAATCTAAAAATGCAGATGAAGATGGGAGGTGTAATTGAATTTCAGGTTTCACTGTTAGAAGAATGGGCTCTGCCCTTTATAAATAACAATTTTCCTCCCTTCAGACACAGTGTGCCCCTTTCGGGAGAGCTCACAAGCGACTTGCTAGTGTCTTCCTGCAGCACCCCTGCCCATTTAAATGCTGCTCCACCATATGAATTGACACTCCCTCAAATTTTTTTTTATAGATTCTAAATTCTCTTACCCATTTTGGAAACCTTTTTCAGGAAGCCTGAGGTGGAATCTTCTGTGGATTGTGACTATTGATGGGGCTCTTTAAGAGCTGTTTCACTCTGCGATTCAATAAAAAGTGTACTTACCATAGCAACCACTTAGGCTGTGAGGAACATATACTACTTCTGAGATGGAGACCACCTTCCAAAAGAGCCACAGCTGGCATTTGTAATGTGATCTTTTGTGTTACTTACAATGTTCTGGGGGAAAGAAGTGGCGGGGGGGAAGAAATGTGTTTTGATGGAACAAAGTTTGTGCAAGGTTTAATGTTGTTCGTTTTTAAACGCCCCCTCCACCCCCACTCCAGAAGAAAGCTCTGCCTTGTTACGTAAAAATGCTGTTTCCCTTCCCATGTCCGTCCCCCTCCCCTGCACTTTCCTTCCTCACTCCAATTCCTGGTCATGCCAATAGATAAAGAACAGAGTTTTTTGTAAATGAAGGCCTTGTGGCTGGTGACATACCAGGGGAGGTGGTGATGGGAGAAAGAGGGCTAAGTAGATGCAGATGCCAATTGGACTGGGATGTGTCAGGTTTCTTCAGTGCCACCATTTGTTGATGCTGTTGATGTACAGCACACCAGGGAGTGTTGCTAGTTTCTCTAATAACGATCTGCACTGAGTGGTGCTATGAAAATGTGATTAGTCTTTATATGGAAAATAAGAGATATTTACCTCTCTGTGTGTGTGTGCGCGCACACGCAAAATAGATATGTATATAAACAGTTCCTTCCCCCCCCCCACATACTTTTGTCTTGTACGCATGCCATGTACTTGTGCTGATTTTTCTCTTGAGATCCTTTGTGCTGCCTCAAAGATCTGTAATGAAAGGACTGACACCTGCAAATTGCTTCTTGTGTTTCATGTATTTCTGAAATCAAGATTTGGGGCTAATCTTATGGCTGGATTACAAAGGGAGGAAAGGACTGTTTTTAAGAATACTTTCTTATGAATGCTTGGCCACAAGTTGCACAACTCCTACTTAGGGCTACGTGCTTTTCACCCTGCTTAGGTGAAATGCCCATTGGCTTCAGTGGGAGTTTTGCTTAAGGACTGCAGAATAGGGCTGCATTCTAATGATTACCATGGCGGTACTTACTTGTCTTCTGTCCTCTTTTTCAGGTTAGGTTAAGAACATGAAGTTAAGGCTACAAAAATTGAAGCAAAAGACCAGCATGAATAATTTGGTTGGATTACCTCCAACGCTGAGGGCTGGATTAATACTGCTTTTCATGGTGCTTGAGGGGGTCTCCAAAACCTCTGAGAATGTCAGCTAGAAAGGGGTTCTCAGGACAAATTTTTTGGTGGCCTCAGCGTGCGTCCACCAACGCCTGCTGGTGGCCGCTCTCACACTTTTCCCTAAAATACTTAATGAGCTTTAGGAAAAACAAATAATTATGTGCATATACACGTCCAAATCATTGTAATTTGTTTATGATTAGCTAGTAAGTTTGTTGTGAAAAGTGATATTAACAAACATGCAAGTATCACTTTTCACAGCAGATTGACTCAGCCCTGTCAAGCCAGGGGACAAATTAAGCCCCTTGATGGGGGAGGCAGCGGGGGCCAGGGGCAATGGGGGTTGGTGGGTGGGGGAGGGAGTGGGGGGCTGGAGCCTAAAGCCCCGTGGCCAGAGCCTAAAGTTCCACAGCTGGAGCGTGTAGCCCCTCAGCCAGAACCTGCCACTCCACCACCCCAGAGCTGAGGCCGAAACCCTGAGCCCCACTGCCCTGGGAAGGTGGGAAATAACACTAGCTACTTTCTCCTCCAGCGTTGTACCCCAGGTGTCTACAGAGGGGGGGCAGAGCCCAACCCCTGCTGGTGGTCCCAGCACCAAGGCAGTGCATCCAGGAGCAACAGGAAGGGGGAGGGGCCACTATTTTGCCACCCATCCCTGCCCCATCACTGCCCAGAAGGCTATGGCCACAAGAACAGCCCTGGTGGCCACATGCGAGAAATGCTGAGCTAGACACTCTCTTAATGTGTGTAGTAGGCTTTAGAAGGTACAGCAAGAGGATCCATTTAAAATCAGTGCATTTATTTGCATTTCAGTGCCTCAGTTGTCTAGTAAGGCTTTGCATCTTGTTTTGGTCCAGCTGCATTTCTGTGTCCAGAGGTGAAAAGAAAACTGGGGCTAGCAGCGGCGGGGAGTTCTTTTAAGAATACGCTATTAAGGCTGGCAGGCCAAAAGTTTGAATTCAGCCTACAAATAACATTTTTGGTTTTGGGGTACAATACTGGGCTTTTGTTTTGTTTTTTTCCCCTTGGAAACATTCAATCTTCCAAGAACAAAGGTTTCAAGATCTATCAAATCCAGCTGGGCAGTTTGGATGATCCCCAACTTACAAGGGGTGTTTGTTGTCCTGGAATCATGTGTGTCCATGATGCTCTGTCCCTGTGTGCCCTCAGGGTGGGGTAATTGACAAAACTGCCACTGTCCAGAAGTAGGATTCTTGTCTATGTATATGACCATGCGCAGCTTGTTAAGAAGCAATAGAGCAGGCAAGTGGAGTGGAGACAAGGATTGCTCACAGGTCTTGTAGGGAGGAACTAAATGATCTGAACTTTAGGCCTTCTATGTCCTGAATAATTCCCTCTATATGGTATTTTAATCAATTTTTTAAAAATTGTATTTCCCTTCTTTCATTAATATTGTCAGTTGTGTAGTTCTCATTCACTGTTTTCTGAGTCCGTATTCTGACTAAGCTATAACTACTGCAGATGATAGGGTAACGTTGTGGGTTAGGGGCCTTTGACTGGATACTACCTCTGGTATCTTAGTTATACAAAAACTTACATTTAGCTTGCTTTGTACCAGGCAAAAACATGCTGTACCAAAAACGGTGTTTTGGTATAGTGTGTATCTTATAAAACGCTAAAAGTCTTCAAAAATTCCCATGTTTTCTTCTGCAGGGTACACTTTTGAAGTCAATG